TGCATCTACCTACTATGTAGTAACTACTTACTATGTAAATACTGTACGCCTTTTTATGGGGCGCTTAAACCATTTTATTGGTGGATTTTTCGCTTGGCAGCATTTGCTTTCGGTGTTCTGCGGCAGCAGTTGTTGCGCGCCAAACAAAGCCTTTGTGGCAGGGTGTTGAGTGAACTAAGCAATGCGCGAAAAGAAGCATAAAATCGTTGGAAAATAAAATAAAATTGTATTCCGATACATGTTTATACATATTTATGTAGCTATGTTTTAGAATGCAGGCAAACTTTTGCATGCAAATGCATTCGCTTCCACTTATTGTTTTACACTTTCCAAAGGTGTCGATTTGACTTGTACGAGTACTCCTCAAGATTTCTATTAATGATAAGCTTGAGTACCTATTGTACATACATGTTCAAAGAGCTATTAAGTTAATTTGAAAATAATCACACACATGTACATACATACATACAGGCATATACATATAATCAGTAAATTTATGCTACTTGCAAGTACTTGTAGCTTATAACTGTACGTGCATACTTCTATGATAGAAGTTCTATCCGACTGCACAGGGCTGCAGAGATAAGACCCATTGTATTCGAAGTTTTTTGAGGTCCTAAAAACCTGTTCGAAATTGCACCGTCATGTCAGAATTTTTTTCGTTAAAACTGGCTACTCCACTTTCTGGTATGCTCTGTTGACTTTCAGTTACATATTTGTTAAAAAAACATACAACCCCCTTCGGGCGGGGTCATAAGGGATAGGGTTGCTTGGACGAAACAAAGCTTCAAGCCCTACAAAGTGGCGAATTATACCCGCTCAACTGGCTACGACGATGGAAACCTCTGAAAATTGGCTAATAAACATCTTCATGGCCTGTTTTAAGCTAAATTACATACCGTCGGCGTGTCTCTTTTGTCTTTATTCCTAAAGTTGGTAAGGCCGCACATACAAATCCAAAGGATCTCAGACCTATTAGCCTTTCTTTCTTTGTGCCTAAAACCCTTGGAAAAATAATTAGAACTACTTATCTTTCACCATTGATAGTTGACTACTGTACAAGTTCACGGAGACTGCTCTGCATAGCCTGGCCAGTTTTATTGAAAAGTGCTTCAGTTTCAAGGAATATTGTCTTGAAGCCTTTCTAGACATTGGGGGAGCTTTTAAAAATATTAATTCAGAGGCTATAATAAATACCTTGAGGGGGCTAGAGGTGGACAATTCTCTGGTGGAGTTTATAAGGCAGGTGCTCTTGTGCAGGGTGGTCACGGCAAACGTCGGTGAGAACTCGGCTCAAAGGTATATGTAAAGGGGCTCTCGTCACTCCTTTTGAACTTAACTGTGAAGTCTCTCTTGCGAGAGTCCAAATGGGGGAACGCCTAGGTGGTTTCTTATGCGTTTGACGTAGCGATATGTCAAAATGGTCTACGCGTTGTGGCAGTTTGGAGAAAGTTGAACTGTTTCTCTTTATGAGAGAATGCAAGACAACTCTACTGAATCCGCCTAAACAAAACGGGCGACTCTTAAGCTTGCCGAATAAAGCAAAATTCTTTGGTGTCATTCTCTTAGCTGGAAATAGAACATTGTGTTCTGGGCAGGTGCTAGGAAGCACAGCAACCAACCAACCAAAACATAGTCCAGTGTTATGAGAAGGTGTCTGTGGCCTTATATCGCTCAAGACGGTCATCGACAAGGAATGGTTTTGAGCCCAAGTGTATACCGTTGGATTTACACAGCGGTGGTTAGACCGATTCTCCTATATGGAATTATCGTATGATGACCTCAAATCTAAATCTGCTCAACATAGTACAGAGGATTAGTATGATCTGCATTAGCGGAGCAATCCGGCAACGCAAAATGATGCTTTAATTGTATTTTTGGGTCTTCTGCCATTAGGTCTAGCGGGTCAGCAGATGACATGCGTTGCTGCACTTCGGTTAATAGGGACAGGGCAATGGAAATCGGGATTGCTGGGCCACTCCTGCCTTCTGAAAAAATACAGCAAGCAGATTCTTCCAGCAAAAGAACGCATTGGTATGCCCCTCGCCACTTGCAAGCCGCTTTTAAGAGAATTTATCTATGCTCCCGCGAGCAATTGATGGATGCAAACTACGACCTGTCGAATTTCGAGGCGAACTTGGCCTAGGTGGAATCGAAGTGGTCTCTAAAGAGGGAGGAAATATCTCACACAATTGGTGCTCTAATAGGTCACTGCCTTATAGGTAAACACGCAGAACGGCTCGGAGTGTCCTACCATAGATGCTGCACAAGTTGCAAGAACAATGAGTAGAAAGAGACAGTTCTCCACCTTCTCTGTAATAGCCCGGCATTATTGAGGAGCAGATTGTTTTTTTTTCTATGGTATCCTTGCTTTAGTGACTTTGACACATTGGGAGATTCAAACCCAGGATTTCTAATGGATTTCGTCAAGTGTTCAAAATGGTTTAGCCAGGTGGGAGTGAAAACTTTTATGTACAAAAGTGATATAGCTATGTTAATAAGTGAAAACCAAAGGAGGATATTAGAAAGTGGAATAGCTAGTTTAAAAAAAAATCCTGACGGACCAATTTTTTAAACGGATAAATTTTTAGGACGTTCAAAATGCTTCGGATACACTTTCTCCGTTCTTTGTAATAAAAACCAAAAATTTTAATTTACCATTTCAAGGATGCTTTTTATTTTCTGAAACGAACAACATGACCAAGCTAAGCTGTATTTAAATTCGCTGCACTATGTCCATGTCGCGGTAAAGCTCATACAGTTTATCGTTCCTTCGTCTTCGGTGCTCGGCAAGGCCTCTAAATCTTCCGCAAAATGTTTCTCTCAAATAAAGTGGTCAAAATTAATTTGGGAGTATGAATTTTAGTATTAAAAGTTAATAAAAAAATCGAGAAGTTCATTTCTCTCAATTTTGGTATGAAATTAGGCTGCGTGTACAATTTGAGCCAAATCGAAGGCCATCACGCAGAAAATCGCCACTTTTGTTACATTTAATATCGAATCGCCGTATATGAGTATGTACATATGTATAAGTACATATTATGTAAAGTTTCCACCATTTCCAATTTTTCTTTTAAATGCAGTGAATTATGTTCTACCCGCCTTCGCACAGCTTCTTTCCGCCAATCGCATTCGGCATTAAACATTAAATGTCAGAGTTGCTTTTGAATTATGCGCTTGGGCACAGCGACAACAGCGTGGCAGCGCATCCAATGTTGTTGCGCCTGCTGGCAGTTACGATGCAAAACATTTTGAAGTAGCTGCTCGTACACCACCAACATGGACGAATGTATGCTGCTGTTTAGCTACAGTGGCTTTCAAATTGCAGCCACATCAGCTGCACCACTGCATGTGGAACTCTCACTGCGTATGCAGGCTCAAAAACCTTCAATTTTCACAGCGACGTTCATTTATGTAGATGGGTTTTTTTTTTCTGCTTTGTTTACTACTTCCACCCATTCCCATCGTCATCGTCACATCGTTACTTCCACTTGCCCTTGTTGCATTGGCTGATAAACGTTTTTGCTGCTTGTCGCCTGCTGTTGCTGTTCGCCTGCTTATGTGGTTATTGTTGTTGTTGCCCTTTGTCAATGCATTTTTGCACGCAACTCCTAAGGAGTTGCACCAACTGCTGCTGTTCCATTGGATGATCATACCTCTGGGTACTTGTGTACTTACATAGTTATACATTCATTATACATGTGCGTATATATGTATATGTATGTATACATATGGACGAGTGTATTTACATATCTACATACATACAATATATAGCTTGCGGCATTGAGTATGTACTTGCATTTCAAGATTCTATATTTTGCATACTCACATTGGAATGCATTTAGTACGTACCTGGGAACCCTAAGTCAAGTCCTTGTTCACAAGTTTCTGCGGCGCCTGTCGTCATCCTCCCTCAACCGCCTGTTTATGCGAGAAATCATGTTTGCGATCATATTCCCATTTTGCTCAGATACGAGCCTGGTTTGAACAATATTTTGCGAGATTGGGTTTTCGCCAGTTTCATCGGCTAGCCTCATTCCTACAGCTAAAGCTCATTCTGGCAGCTGAAGAACACATGGCAGGCGTCTTCGTTAACGTTGCAGACTGGGAATAGAGGTGAGATATCGTGTCCGAAACGCTCCAAGTAGCTCCGGTAAACACTGTGTCCTATCAAGAACTGCTTCACATGGAAACTGGCTTCACCGTGTGTGCGCCGAACCCATTTTCCTAGGTCAGAAATGAGGGACTGGCGCTGCGCAAAGGAGGGTAGAATTTATCACCCTTTTAGGCACAAGTCTCCTACTGCTTCTTGGCCCATCAACATTATGTAGCATCCTACAAAGGCCAGTATGCATTTTGGAAGCCTTTTTTGTTATGCACTCAGGATGCGCTCCAAAGTTAAGCCTGTCGTGAGTTATCACACCCATAAAACGTATCCGACGTGATGATATGATTTCGTGCCTTCCCACTGTAAAGGTTGCTGATTCTGGCTTTTTTCGGCTGCTTATTAGAACTGCCTCCGTTTTCTACTCGGCTAGAAAAGGTTCATCCCTTTTAGCTACCAGCGCTATGTCATCAGCAAAGCCCATAATACTGACGCCAGTGGAGAAATTCCGTCGTACACAATATTCCATAGCGTCGGACCAAGTACCGAATCTTGCGGCACTCGTTTCATACAACCCTTCCATTGCGGTAGCTATGGATGATGTTGAATACATATGTATGACGGGATGGTTGGCCTCATGAGTGATCTCAGAATATGTTACCAATCCGCGATGTTGAATGCATTTTTGACATCAAGTGTGACTATGGCGCAGTATTTCTTACTACCTCCTTTCCAGCGCTGGCCAGAGATTGCATCTTTTGCAGTTTCCACAGCCTTTTTTTTTGCTGCTGTGGTTGACCGCTTCTTACGGAAACCATACCGCCGTTGCGATAACCCGTTGTTGCTTTCAGTGAAGTGAAGAAGGCAATTGAGGATAATTCTCTCTAGAATCTACCCCATGATGTCCAAGAGGCATATTGGCCGATATGATCCAGGTAAGCCTGGTGGTTTTCCCGGTTTCGGTAGCAGCACTAGGTTCTGCACTTTGCCATCAGGACTGGGGGCCTTTCGATTTCCAATCATATTCGAGGCTGCAATGATTTCACCCGGTGTTACCTCATCTATCTCGTTAACGTTGCATGTCATTTGCGGCAAACATACTGTTTTGCGTTGAAGAAACAGGGTCCGAGTTATTTCCCTAAGCGCTAAATATGTACATATGTCAACTTCTCTGCGTATCCTCTCGACCAGAAGATTGCGAATACACTAGGATTTCCGACACATATTGTCGCCAAATATTTAACTCATTCAGATGTACGGCTTCTATAGCCAAGGCACTAATTCTGGCAACTGTCTTTAAACTCACCATAGCCTTTCGTAAGACCAAAGACTTTAGTAAGATAATTGTCCATTCTGGCTACTATTTGGAAAGGTCTTTCTGTGTTTTGAAAGACTAATTGAAAGATTTGCTAATGAGGAGGTCTTCGTGTTTTTCTGGTTGTATTTTAGCAACAAGTTTTCTAAAAATGAAATAAATCTGTGTTCATATGGTATAGTAGCTTATGTCGAAAGGCTGGCTTTAGTATAATGCAGTACATATTAATCGTAGTCTTCGTTACGGCATGTGTATTAGGGTAAGGTAAGGTGATAGATGCTGTAGGGGTCCGGAATTCGGACGGACAATTCCAGTCCAAATTCTTCAGAAAAAACTCCGCAGCCAACCCTGTGGTATAGCTTGGATCCATCCGTGTAAAACTTTAATACCAAAATTCTGCTGCCCGATGACGACCCGGCACTTTGCTTGGTACTTTACTCACTGGTGCTTTAATTACTTGGTCAATGCGACTGTACTTTCTGTCAAAGAGCTTTTCACAAGGACAGTTGGCTAGGCAGATTTTTTTGTAAGGCTTCCATGCCAGAGTAAACAAAATCTTTCAAACTATTTTGCCTATCAATTTCAACTATCTTAGCAAGAATTTCCCCGTTAGCATTATTTTGAGCCCGAAGCAAGGCTAAGGGTGTTAAGCACCTCTATGATCAACTAGGTTGTAGTCTATCTGTATGTCAAATTTCAGTGAAATACGTCTAACTGTTTAAGCGTGAAAGAGCAACAAACCCGCTCACTCACAATCTTTCACATTTATAATATTAGTACTCGTAGTTTGTTGGCAATCTGGTTTTAAAAAGTAACTGCTTACTAAGCTATTTAAGATAGGTACTACGTGACGCGAACAAAAGTCCGTAGACGCTCGATGTCAGTTTCAAAGAGTGTCTAAGGACTGTTTAAGTTACGCGAGCCGAGATGTTTAGGCAAAGTCCAGTCAAAACCACAAACAAAATTCTGTACTGGCGCTTTGTGTGCCTAAAATGCTACTCCACCTACTCCGATCCAGCTGGGCCAGAAGGAACTTGTGATTACAGACATCCTAGCTTATGACTAGTGATCGCTGAGCTGGCTTCAGATGCGGAGATGAATCAAAAAAATAGTTTATTGGGTCCAGGGTAGACATACTGTGCTTCTAAGTCTGACAAGAGCGCTACTGTACCGACCCAACTGCATTACTGCGACAGCCGCTTTACTGAGCATGACACGCCATGACGTGCAGTGCCAGAGTAGAGGAAGCTTAAAATTCCAAGACCCCAGACAGAGACTCCACAGGATCACACAGGTTTAAGTTGCTACTGATAAGGGAATTACGTAATTCGTGGCTTGACACAAGGCCATAGCCGGCCGATTTCTATGCCAGAAAGTATATCAGTTCTGTTTAGAAGGTGTTAGTCGAGATGTTTAGATCTCCACCTCGCAAAAGCTATATTGTACCAGACAGTGTCCCATAAAAACTCGGCCAAAGGCCATCTTTGGTCAACCAGCAGTAATTTGTGGTTTCACATGTCCTGATTTACGCCTAGCACTCATTGAGATGAATTTAGAGTCGCGTGTGAGTGGAGAATATGTTGATTGGATCCACTCTAGGTACGCAGTGCCTCTAAGCGAGATAATATGAAGTTCATTATCTTTTCAAGCGCATGCTAACGGAAGAGGATTCGGTAGAACTTTATTGGCTTAGCTGTGGATAATAGATATAAGAAAGAAGAAAGAGAGATGTCCCATCTCTTACCACTGGCTCGCCGGCAACATTAAAAAAAACGGGTGCTTTTTCACTCTTTCCTAACTCTTAAGCTTCCACGACAGCTATCTGCGTATATCATTAAATCCTCCCCAATATTTAGGTCTATGCGAAAGCGTATAGCAAATAATTTGACAAGTTCTGGTTTACTAGATCCTAGTATCCGGTTATAAAATTTCATTTCATCTGAACAGACACCCGATAGCTGCTCTCTTCCAGCTCCTCTAGAGTCCAGGAGTGAGGTGAAATAACTCTACTAGCTGAGGTGTCCCTATTTATCCTTTACTGAATGTAGGCACTGCCTCATTTGGTCGTCTCAGTTAAAGAAAACCCTGACGAGATTAGTTTCGACCCCAAGCGTATCAGGTAAACTAACGATAACTCTCGATAAGACGTTGCTAAAAGCCCGTCGACATCTTTCAAACGAGTCCCTACAAAGAAGACTTTATGGGCAAAGGTTATCCCGAAAATCGCTTTTACATCTCTGTCAGCGTCTAAAGAGTTTTTAGCAAAAGCGAGAGAGACTGAGAGCTTCTACTCCCTCTTAGGTAAAAATTCCGCCCTGAGCACTCTCTACGTGGCACACAATAAGTGCCGAGATGGAGACCAGCAAAGGGCATAACTCCTCTAAGGAAAGCCGCCCAGTCCTCAAACGGCTGAAAGAGTATTTTTTAACAGACGCTGAGAAAAATTGGGACCCCCTTGCTGTTGAGTAGGTTAAACAATTATTTGATATTTCTGGGATAAAAATTTGTTTCTCAGTGTTATCAGCCGAAACTTTAGAATGCACTGAAGCTCTTCAAAAATCTCCGGCAAATTATTCGCTTCCCACGCTTACTTACTAAAAATTCCATCACATAACCGCAGCATACAACTTCCGTTTCCCTTTGACCACAAAATTTGAAACCGGCTCATCGACAACCTTGAAACGCCGCAATTTACTCAATGAAAATACATAATTCAAGTATCAACCAGAAAAATAGGGTCAATCACTGGCACGCAATGATTGACAGCCGATCGAATTGAAGGCGCAAAAGCTTGTCAACAACAACAGTCACTGCACACACACACATTGCGCACTGCACACCCAACCACAGCAGCACAGCAGCGCAGCGGCAAAGGCGTTGACAACGTGTGTGGGCGGCGGCATGGCATGGCATATGCAATTGGAAGCCATGAATATCAATTTCGCGTGGCGCTTGCAACGGCGTGGAAAACCGCAGAAGGAATGCAAAGAAATCCTTAGTGGCGAAGGCATAGCCAGTGCAGGGGCAGTAGTCTCTGCAAGCAGTAGCGATGAGCGCCTGGCGCTATTATCGCCCACACACGCTTCGGCGGCAAGTTTCAAGTTGGAGCAAACCGCAAACGAAAGTGAGGCGTGAAGTTGTACAAGCAATTGCTGACCGCATAGTCTGGCGCTGCTGCAAGGTTGAAAATGCAAAATGTATGTATAAGCGCGTTTGCCGCTTGTTCTCAGCTCTGTTTCATCCATTTTTTTCTTAAAAATGTTTTTTTATCGTTCAACTACTTGCCCCTTAATCGGTTAAATTAAGCGTGAGCATATGAATGCATACAAATCTTCCGCTTACTCCTCGCTGCTGGCTGTTGTGCTCTTCTGCTTTACCACTTGTCTGCTGCCGACGACATTCAGCGCGTGTGCAAAGCGTCAAATGACAAAGCAACAAGCAACTAGCGACAACCTACATACATACATACGTACATACATACATATGTGCGTATCTATTTCACAACAACAATGATATCGGCAATATTACATTCAAACTTAATGCCACATTGATATGCAAACCGCAACACCCTCGCAACGCATCGGTTCGGATCGCTGCGTCTTCTTGTGCGGGTGCGTGCGAATTGGTAAGCGATAGCTTTGCTGACACTAATGCTGAGCGACATATCGACCAGCGGCAAGTTAAACGTGTGCCAAGCGAACAGGGATCAATGTCAACAGGTTTTTTTTTTTGCTTTTGCTGATGTGGACGAAATGTTGCTTCGAATGCTTGTTTTATTCCTTTTTTAAAGACTTTATGCGTTTTATAATGAAAAGCAGAACATTCAGTAAGATATTGTGTTTTATTGCTTTATTTGTATTTAAAGTTGAGATCGTAATGTACCTTTCAGCTTATAACCCAAAAAAATACCGAAATGTCCGGAATACAAAACAAAAATTCCCAATGCGACTCGAGGAACTTTTGAAAATTCCCCAAAAAATCCATAGAAGCACCGAAGATAATTCTGAAAATTTTTAAGAAAATCCCGAAAGATACTAAAAAAGCCCAAAGATTGCTGAAAAATCAAAAGAAAAAACCGAAGAGTACGGAAAAATCCGAAAAAAGTTGACAAATCTCTTTCGAAGGGTCCCGAAAATATTCGAAAAGGTCCTGGAAAAATCGCTTCAAGATCTGAAAAAATAACAAAATATTGAATGACCCAGAAAAAAAACCCGATAGTTCCGCAAAAAATTCTAGAAGTATCGAAATATATTCCGACCGAAAATCGCGAAGTCCACTAAAAACAATCGGAATATACCCAAAACCATATCAAAAGGTTATGAAAAATCCATAAATGTCCCGAAAACAGCTCTATAAAGTATTGAGAAAAATCCAAAAAAAATCGAAAAAAATACCGAAGAGTCCGAAAAAATATTAAAAAGGTCCTGAAAAAATCGCTCAAAGATCCGTAAAAAATTCGAAAAAGTACTGCAAAAATTCCGAAGCACACTGAAAAATCTCTACGAGCCCCCAAAAATTCTAGAAGCATCGCAATATATACCAAAAAATCCTAAAAAAAACCTTCCGATTGGTTCCGAAAATTGCGAGATCCACAAAAGTCGTGAAAAATCCGTAGGAATTCCGAAAACAATTATGAAAAGTGTTGAGGAAATCCAGAAAATAAATACCGAAATGTGCTGAAAAATTCAAAAACAAAAAATCCGAAGAATTCCGAAAGGTCCGTAAAAAGTCCCGCAAAAATAAAAAAAATCTCAAAGTTTCCCCAAAAATA